AACACATGGGAGAGGATGTCAACACAGTTGAAACCAAACTTGTCTGGAAAACTGTTCATTTTATCTTGTTGTGTGGGTTTGTAATTTTGGTTTTGTTTTCGGAGGGCGTGTTGAAATTGAGGTCTAAATGTTAGCAAATTAATATTTATCTATATATGATATTTGGCAGTTTCTTTATTAATGCTCTCTCATAGACCAGCACAGAATAAATCAGCCCTTATCACACATTTTTTCTCCCTCAAAGGCTGAGCAAATAAAGGAGTCTTGTGAGTAGGTTTTCTGCAATTTGGAGGCTATGCTCTTAGACTGAAAATGATTAATGGCACAGAATTTGTATGACCAGCAGCACAAAAGCTAATTTGTGCAGCATAAAGATATGACAAAGGGTCAGCTGTGGTAGAATTTCTTCAATACTGAGATTTATTGCCTTTTTTTTTTTACTGATCACCTATTTGAGGTAGTTAACTACAAAACAGGAAAATTAAAACCAGGCGGGACACAAGCAAGAGCAGAGACTTACACACCCAGTATTGTCAGTATCATTGAGTTCATATGTAACTCAGCCAGATGGAAGGCTCTGCCACGAAACCCTTCTACCTGGCACTGGCAGCAATTTATATTTTTATAGCAACACATGGTCCTTTTGGCAGTCTTGAGCAGAAGCAAAACCCCAACAATTAACACATGTACTCCCAGGGTGCATTTTAACTAGAAAATGTTTGGATGCTTTAAGTAATCCAGGCAGCCTACAAACTTGAAACTCTTTCTGGTGGTCTTAGTGATGAATTAGCAATCGATGCCAGAATAGCTAAGCACAACAGACTGCAGAGTAAAACATCTCCTCTCTTTCCTTGATCAACACCTTCCAATTTTATTTCTGAGGAAGAGTGGATGGATTAGTGCCAGAATCCAGCTTCTCATCTAGCTGATGCATGAAGAACTAGTGTTTGTCCTCACAAGGCTCAAATAACATCTCATCTAGCCAGCCACCATGTACTTATTCTAACAATTTTCAGGTAAGACAAGAAGGTTTCAGGTCTTTTTCCTTATTTAAGAGAGTGTCATACTTTAGTTCAGAAAGGCATGAGGATAACGGCTCAGAGCTGATCCATTGCAATATAAATCTGGTTGTGATCTGCAACAACTTTGCATTTTCCAGCCTGAGCAGAGACAGTTAAGCCAAAATACACAACAAATACCTATTAGGGCTTTGTATTTCCCTGATTTACTTCTACTAATTATTCCATAAGAATTTGGGTTCCAGCCATTGCTACCAAGGCAGGATTGAACTGTTCAATATGGGGAACTCTTTCACTGGGCAAAGAATTAGCACACAGTATTCAGGCAATGGCTTGGGGTTCAAACACACAATGATGCTATTGTGCTGTAAGAATCTACCATGCACAAGTATATACTGTCTCTGGATCTACTGCTGGTCATGGAAATCTGAGGTAACTATAGCATGGTTACACTTTTTTCATTGCAGCTAATTCCAGTAACTCCACACCTAATGTACATGGGCAGTTATTACATGCCAGTGGGTTTCCAGTAACTAGTAAAGCTGTAGTAATTTACTCATTTATCTGGTCTCTGGACCTTCTAAGTGTTTCCACAATGCAACTAATGAATAACAATAATTTGTTTTCAAAAGAAAAAGAACATTAACACTCTTTAAAAATCATTCTAGCTTCTCCTTATTCTTCCAAAGCACCATAATCTCCCACCTCTTTTTTTCATTCCCCTCCCCATGAGTCTACCCTGCTGGCACTACAAAATCCAATTTCTCCTAAAATAGTGAAAAGCCCTGAATGATTTCTGTCCAGTCCAAATCATAGATACGTGCTACTACATGTACATGTAAACGGCTCGATGTCCATGTGGAGACCGGTCTCCTGACATCCTCAATAATGGTCAAAAGAACAGCCAAAGATTCCTAAAGAGTAACAAAGGAAAAACATAACCATGTCTAGTATATTAAAGAGAACTTAAGTTTTGTGGATCACAGTACGAAAAACCAGAGGTTTTGCTAAGAGAATAAAAGAAACAGACAATAGAAAGAAGCTGTTGTCTTTACTTTTTTGTTTTGTGTACAAAGATATGCTTCTGAGAAGAGAGGTTCCACATTCCAATCTTCGGTGACATCATTAATTCTTGTCATTTTTTTCAAATCGGGTTAAAAGCTCATTAATAAAGACACTGACAGAAAGAGAGTAAGGAAATACCTTGTAAGTTACTTTCAACTTCCTTAAAAACATTTGCCTTTAGAAAGGAAATTAACTTGCTTTCTCCCACTCTCACCCTTGAGGCCCTTCTGAACATTTCAAGCACTGACAGAAAAAAGCAAGCTCATGTAGCAACAGCTTGGGAGATTTATGTGCAGATGAGACGATTCAGACTTGCTGTCCAACAGAGAATACATGAACACTCTGCTTGTTTGCAGGATAGTGTTTCATCTTTGCTCTTAAAAAACAAACAGACCCAAAAAGGAAACACTGTATGTTCAGTGCAGCTCAGCAGGACTTCAGTCAACATCTGGCCTTCTGTGAACACTGGCACATTTTACATTATAACTGCTTTTTTGACTTATCCGTAAGATAAAATGATTGACTACAAAAGAAATCAACTTTGTCAAGTTTATACTGGAGTTAATGTTCAACTATTCAGATATCAGAGACTGGGATACCCTTAATAATGGTAAAACACTGGTGTTCTGGGAGCATGAAACAGAGGTGTCCAACTCTGGGGTTCAACAGGGCTCATCAACTCTGACTGAGTGCTGATACCACAGTATCTAAGGCTGGAAGCACTCAGGGGATTCTGCATTATTACTTCCTGCTACTGGTAGGGTTTACCGGTTCAAAATCTGAATGACGTGAATACCTCTAGCCGTGGGAGAAATGTGACAATATCTGTGTGGTATTATAACTATGTTAATAGCAAGGAGTTGGACCTGAGCTGGCTCTGAACAGAATGGTCCTGTCCTTCTCATCTTCTGATGACAAGGCTAATCTTTAGTCTGCACTGTGTGAACAAGGATAGCTGAGAGTCGATGGAATCTCCCTTCCTAAGAGGCACCTCTCTACTTGCTGCTTTCAGCTGGTATAGCCTATGTAGGTTAACCTTTCTCTCAGTTCTTCTGCTTTATTATTGCTAATGTTTTGATTTTCATTTACCTTGTTGTTGCGTTCAACCCCAGTGTAATCTGCTTCAGGTGGAATCTTTATATGTAGCTCAGCTTCATAGGCTCCTTCCCCATCATTCCTTGGATTTATTATGAGCATGACATAGTTTTCTTCTCCAATTATTAGCTGATCTTTATCTCTGTATAGAACATACTACTTGTCAGGAGTTAAAACGTGCACAATTACAATTTACATATGAATAGAGTGGAAGGACATTTTGCTGTCATAGCATCTGTTCTGGAAAACATTCTGTGAACATAGAATAAAAGATTGCCCATAAAAAATGACCCCATGAAAAAGTATGGCAGCACCTGGGTAGGAAAGAGGTCAAGAGAAAACACTATCATGGACAATCAAAGTAGAGCACCACAGAACCTGAAAGTTACTGGTATAAAATTTCAGAGCCTGACTACTTTCTAACCAGAAAGAAGTATCTACTGGATAAATTACTTGCCACAGTGGTCCCATCAGCATTGTTTTCTGGAGGGTACAAAGGTGGTGGGATTCCAGTTTTCCCCTCACGCCCATTGTAAAACTAATGATGACAGAAGATCTCCTGAGACCTGCAATGGCACTGTGCCCTTTCGTTTCACAGCTATGTACTGATTTTGATGGCACAGAATCAGACAACCATCAGAGGTTTCCTACTTGTCCTGCTTGGCATATTTCTCCCTCCACAGGAGGAACTGTTGCCATGTTTTGAAATGCTTTATTCTGAGATTCGTTTACTTCACTGTATACTGACTTCAGGAGAATTGTGTCCCAAGTTCAAAGCCACTGACACACTGAAATAAACAAATTTAAAATATCCTTTGAACAACAATTTGTATTATTTCTTGGCATTCGGAGAACTTGAATCACTCTGAGCAATCACTTGCAAACTATTTTCTATGGTAACCATTAAACATCATGAATATGTCTGACAAAGATACATTTTCAAGTGTATGTTTCTCCATTTTTTTGTTTTTTGGATGAAATGGATACGCAAATTAAAATCTGGAAATCAGGTAAGAAAGAGTACCTATAGCAAACAACAGAACTGTGTTCTACGTATTTCGTTCTGTTAAAGCAGTTAGAAGTGTCTGGATTTCGTTATATATAACATCATATATTTTATTTAACTTACGGCATAGCAGAAAGCTGCAAGTCAGGAATGCACAAGTTGTCCTCACCACAGTCAACCAGAATATAAGCCTGTATTGTTGCAAAATAAAAAAAAAATAAAAGTTAATGCATGCTTTAAGGTCCAAATCACTTCATTAGATATTACGGATCAAAACGTCTTAAATATCACTAGCACTGCCCAAGTGGATTAATCTCTTTCTTCTTGCTATAAGTTCCTTTTCACGTGAGTAGTTGGAGACTATTTAGACTGTCAACTATGTCTTTAGCAGAACGATATCATCTTTCAGGACCTTTCCCACACTAACTTGGCTTACATATTCTAGAATGCAATCAAAACTGTGATCACAACAAAGCTTTGGAAATGCTTTAAAGGCCTGCCTGGTTCTATATTTATATTCAACTTACATTTTGAATTAATTACATCCTTGTTATGTAATTTCTAGGCATGATAGTCTGTTTTAAGGAAGATGACACACATAGTATTTGTAAATGCTTTCATGTTGATATACAGAAAATGTGGCATGCAAAATTCATACCTGTTCTGTTACTGAGCTTTTCTGGTAATAGTTCAGTATTGGCTTCACTGTCAAGCTATCTTCAAAATTGAATTCATCCAAACTATAATTCAAGTTTATATTGATGGGAGATAATTTATCTCTAAATTCTGTTTCATCCTGTGAGTGACAGACACAAAATAAAAACCAATGGTTTAATATAATTATTGCAGATTAGTATGGTATGGCAACTGATTCAGACTTCAGTCTTTATTGAAGGTAAAGATATGGTTCTTTGACAGCTGCTGGCCAAATTCTGGCCGTATGTAATGTCATTAGGAAAGCAAAGGGACTCAACCAGAAACTGGAATGCCCAGAACACATTGCCTCCACAGCCCCACATCTGGAAGAAGCTGAATGAGCTGAGTAGACTCAGAATTTTTTCAAAGCATTACTCTAAAATAAAGCTGTTTAAAAGAGACACCCAGAACCAACTCCTATCAGCTACTGCCCGCCTGTCTTTTGGAATGGAGGTAGGGCATGTGTGGATTTGTGGAGGTAATATTGCTGGCTTGTTCTATAACTAAGAATTTATATGGATTAGCAATGGTAAAACTCCACCACCTTTATTGCCTAGATACTTCCTTACATACTGCTTGAGACTCCTCCTCCCACTGCATTTCTACAATCAGCCTTGGAATCTACTTCAATTCCGTAAGGTAATTCCAGCTGCAAGTGAATGACCCTTTCTCCTTCACTACTTCAGCTTCATAGTTTTAATTTTTCTAAAAGCATTTTAAGATATCTTTAAAATATTTTTTTAAAATATATGAATTTTAGGCCAATATTGCTGGTGATAGTCCTTTAAAATATCGGTTGAAACTGAATTAGCATGACATTCAACATGTTTAGTTGATTATCTCACTGTGAATACGAGAGGGAGAGCAATCTTGCATTTTTGTATAAGGAGACACAGTATTTAATCAGAATTTGCAGAAGAACATGGAATTAATGTATTTGTACACAGAGGAACTAACTGTACATTCTTCAAAGTAATTATTTCTTTTATACTTACATTAAGAAAAGATGAGCCAAAGATTTACATAGAAAATTTCGCTCAGATAGAAGAATGTTCTGGAGACTCAGATCATAGAATGATAGAATCACAGAATCATTTCGGTTGGAAAAGACCTTTAAGATCACCAAGTCCAACTGTTAACCTAGCACTGCCAAGTTCATCCCTAAACCACGTCCCTAAGTGCCACATCTATATGTCTTTTAAATACCTCCAGGGAAAGTGACTCAATCACTTCTCTGGCAGCCTGTTCCAATGCTTGACCAACCTTCTCGTGAATAAATTTTTCATCATATCCAGTCTAAACCTCCCCTGGCAAAACTTGAGGCCATTTCCTCTTGTCCTATTGCTTGTTACTTGGGAAGAGACACCAACACCCACCTCGCTACAACGTCCTTTCAGGTAGTTGTAGAGAGCAATAAGGTCTCCCCTGAGCCTCCTTTTCTCCAGATTAAACAACCCCAGTTCCCTCAGCCACTCTTCAAAAGACTTGCACTCTAGACACTTCTAGACCCTAGATGAGGCCTTACTTATCTCAGGTTTCTGTAATTGTGGGATCTAAGAACAATGGAAATCGTTCTTTCGTCCCAGTGTCTTCTTTCTTTATCTTTAAATCCCTGATACTACTCAAATGATGATGACAGTCCAAGATATTTTAAACAACTTACTCTGAGATAAGTAAGAAAGTCCTGGCAATGGGGTTGTTTCTGTCTTTCCATCACAATGGAGAAGTGATGATGTGACTGATGGTAATCAAAGAAGAGGGTCCTTTTAACAGCTCCTTTCTGTTTCAATGAATCCAACTGCAATTCACCTTTCAGCACTAAAGGATACAAGTATATCAAATATTTATTTATTTAACATGGAAACAAAAAATAGTAAACAATTAATTATGTATTATAGTTAATTACTCTAACAAAGGCTTCCAAACAAAACTAATCCATGCTTTAAGTGCTTGTCTAACAGCACACTAGTTTTTGATCCTAAGTATGGAATATGTGTAATTTAAGCTTTCTAATTTCATTTATAGTCATACGTGTACAGGACTTCCATCTCTTTAAATTTTTATTATTTTTTTTTCCCAAAACAGAACATTTTCCCACATGGTACATTCTTGATTTTATTTGAAAAATGGCTTAAACTGAATAAAAAATCTTTCAAGTGAATAACGGAAGCTTTGTGTTTTTTATATATATATTTAACTGTATTTTCTTGCCTTAAGAGATCTCACTACTATTGTCTTTCAAGGTGTAAGAAAAAAAATACATCTGAAATTGAGTGGACACAAGTAAATGATAGGAATATAAAACATTTCTTACCTATTTCATGTGAAATACTCTGACCTTCAAAGTCCGTGCAGACTCTTACAGTAAAGCTACGTATAAAAAAGTAGAAGTAATTGTTAGCAGAAAGAGAGCTGATCAGTTCCCATGTCATACCTTTTAAGCTTTCTTTTCCTTTTCTTAAAAATATGTTGAGATCTGTATTTAGCTGTCTACAGTACTCCCTAAGTTAGTAAGTCCCCTAGGCTCCACTAATAATCAAAGAAGACACGGTCTGAATATCTTCCTGGGAAAGGTATGGAGAAGAGTCTCTGTTTCCACTAATTCTTGAGATAGCCTACAGAGATCACTCTTCCAATACTATTCACAAAGTTGGGTTTCTGATGTTGAGCTTCAGCAAAGCACCTTTGTATGAGGCTGTCTCCATAAGCGCCTTCTGGTTCGTCATGGTCAAATAGAGAAAAATCCTTGAGCATGTAGTCAACACTCAAGTTGTTTTCTAGCAAATAAAAACGCACAGAATGTCAATTTGTTCCATTAGCATCACTGAAAGATTTTCATGATTTCAAGAGGCTATAATTAATTCCAAATAAACTGAATTGTTCAATTTTTGTGGCACAAGACTAACCAGAATGTATCGTATTTAATTTGCTAAGTTTTGCAGAAGTTGGCAGGTAGATGATGTAAACCAAAGCATAGAGAAACTAGTTACTCATGTTCATTATTCAGTATGCCAATGCAACACATTCTACATAATGCAACACATTATAAACTAATTGGTTTCATTTGCCTGTTCACAGTGTACAGCCAGCTGTTTTGAGGCTAGCAATATTCACATCACAATTATAACTGTACTATACGAACATCACCTCAGCCGTAACAAGTTATTTCTCGTAATAAACTTTCATTTCCATTTCTTTGTAAGAGAGGCAATAGGTTTGCAGTTATAAACAACTGACAGAAGCCTTCTATTGTTTGATTGCTCATACCATCTCACAAGACTCACTATAAAAATTAATTCAAAAACCTAAAACTTATAAATGATTATAGAAAAGTTTCACTTCACAAGGAATCTATGTAAGTTATATAAATATGTAATTGAACCACATTTTTAAAAAGCTTTCACAAATTACTCTGGGTGGCTATGGAAACAGTTATAATGATGCTTGTTGATGTTATTAGTAGGACGTACTTCCCTGATGAGTGACAAAACAAGAAATCTGTCCCTGGAAAGATGCTCTTGACTTTTGATATTTGCGGTCACACTCCGCAAAGACTTAGTTCTCCACACCAGTATTCCCAAAGAAGTCCTGTACAATGTAACAAAATTGCTCAGGTGAAAGATTTGGGACTTCCTAAAACTTCCAAGTGTTCCTGGTTACCAACCATTTGTAAAGAATGTTTTCATGGCTTCAGAAAGTGTTTTGTTTTGTATATGGAAGACTCAGCTAAACATGGATTGTAGGTCAGCACTGGAGGACATGAAATCAGCTTGGGTTAAATAAAAACATTTTTGAATTAGCCATTCCTCTTAATCTCCTCACTACTGTTATACTATATACTGACTTCTCCACGGAGTGGATTCAAAACCAGTAACATAACCTTTAAAATAACCCGTAATCACATTCTAATTGCATGTTTGCCTCCTTTGACAAATGTAATGAAACTGTGCCACATCTGGAATTCATGTCACTCTCATCACCTTATTAAACACTTTCCTCTTGGGAAAAAAAAATGCTTTATGCCATTAAAATCTACTTAACTGTAGCCTTCAAATGACATTACGGTCCATGCAGAAATTGCAAATTCAGTAGTTTTCCTATTTCTTTACAATTATGAGTTAACATATGAAGAACCAATTATTTCCTAATACACAAGGACAAGAACAACAAAAATGAGAAAAGCTTGTGTAATTGCATAAAGGCAATTTAGACATCAGGCTTTACAGAATAGTGTCACATGTCATAGCATAAGAATGTATTTTCTCAAATGTAAACTCATGAACTGCCATCATGTATTAAGCTTGCTGATCTCGCTTTGGCGGTCTCACATCATTTTTGCACTGTCATGTTTTAAAAAACATTGACTTAAAAATCTAGTTTTACTTGTTAAACAGCACAATTTCAGTGTACGTTTAATTTACTGTAATTAATAGAATAATTCATCATACACATTCGATAACTAAAGTCATGTTCTCAAGCATTAATGTGAGAGCCAAGATTTAATCCTTTCACTCCAGGTAGAGCATATCAAAAAGGGAATGGCAGTGCAAAAAAGCAAAAACTTGCAGTTTATTAGTCTTCCAGTCTCTGGCCACGCAAGAGGCAAAACTATGGGTTTAGCAGAATTCTGCCACACATTTGTGATTTTATGGATATTTAGTTCAGAAATAGTTCTATAAGACATCACAGATTTCACTTACGAACCCAGACAAATTTAGATATGCTCGTCACTTTGACAAGAAGATGATGTGGAGATGTTGAGGGCTGCTTTAGCTGCGAGAAAAAGAAAAGCAGAGGGAAAGACAGACCGCGAAAGAGGACAGGAGTCTAAAGGACTTATGAGATTTAAGATCTGACTCCTAGGCACAGTAAGAAATATAATAGCTGAGCTTTTGATCTTGCTTGTAGGAGCAATCAACCAAACAAGACAATTAACAATCAAAGGAAGAAAACTTCAGCAGATAAGAAACAACTGGGAGTCAGTCGATCATCCTAAAGCATATGAACTTTTATGTGCTATCAATCTCGCCTCTCTGAAGAGATCCCCACATCACATTTATTCTGCAGTGTCTATCATCACTACACGTTTATGGTTTGAAGAGTATTTGACTGTAGCTAGATAATAGAAGAGAAGCCTTAAAACTGAACACTCTAGCCTTTCCTGGTAATTTTGGGACAATAAAGCAGTTTGTTTGAAATAATTTTCAGAAACATTTTAATATTACTAGAACAAGAAGCTTACAAATATTCCTCTTTTTTCAAAACTATTCATGACATAGATGAGGGTAGTCACTTTAGAAGTCAAAGCAAATTACCTAATATTACTCAAAATGGTTAATCCCTGGAAAATCAAAAAAGTCAGTTACTCCCAAATAATGTTTTCTGGACTGCAGTTTGTACGAGAAGGAGTTTATTTAGGTCTGGCTATTCTAGGAGGTGAAAAAAATAGGAAATTTACTTCATGAGGTGAAAAGCAAGGAATTACCAGATCCAACCAGATGTCATTTGTCATTGTTAACAATTTCTTTAGCACACAGGATTGCACATGGAGAGTAAGAATGGATAGCACCTTAGCAGAAAGGCACTTTAAGCTTTGATGCTATGGACTTCGATTCTGTGTGAGGCTGATACCCAGCCTGCAAGGTCTCAGATCTCCACAGAAGAATAGCAGAAGCTGTTTTTTTCTGCTGATGAATGACCTTTAAACCAATTGTTTCCTTTTTGAAGAATAATACATGAAAGCAAGTCAATATACTTCTACTATGATGCTCTGATACTTGGCCTGCTTTTAGATTTTGTTAAGTCTAATCCAGAGACCTACAATGACCAACATGGAGCTGCTGAAATGCTGAAACGCTGAGCATTTTCCTTAATAACTTCAAAGTTGCAGAATTTGTTCCAAATATGTTAGTTTTTGGAACTTGGAAATAGCCACATTATAAACATAGCAGACAAAGAATTACATGTTTTTAGAAGTGCAGGACAATTCTCTTAGGACTACGCATAAAAAGTACTTTTTGTGTATGTTTCCTCCGTGCTTCAGCTTTCCAATTTATATCATGGCAAAAATAATATTTTCCTAATACTTGAAAATGTACAATAATCCACATTAGTCATACACACACACTTTCCGAAACTTTTCTGGTAGGATGTTTCCTTTCCTTCCAGTTTTGCAGTGTCAGTCAGTAGACATTTTATACAAGTTGCACAGCTGGCTAAGAGATACAGAAATCTATCTCATGGGACTGAGGAATTCTTTGCCTGTTGGAGTTTCCCTACTAATTGTTTTCATATGTACAATACAAGGTTATATCAACTAAGGAGAAAAATTACGGTATGGAAAATAGCAGCTGCTCTTCAGTTGTTTTGTAACATGAACTAAATCTTTAGGGAAGAGTATTTTAGAATAAAGCAGACAGAAATTAAATTAAAACTCTTGTAGATATGAACCAAACATCTTCTGACTTACTGTAACACAAAAATGAAAAGTAAATAAAAAACTACATGTTAAATGAGCATACTTTGTTTTTTTTTTTACAA